GTCTTCTCTCCAACCTATTTATTTTTTTGAATGCATAGAATATTTATCTTCCTATGAATTATAATATCTATTAATTCCATTAATTTGTCACTAAGAGAACCTATATTCCAAATTCCTATCATAATTTTAGCGTCACAAACTGCCTTCTTTGCCTACATCCATCAATGATGTGGGAAGCCTTGCTATTTATCCCTGCACCCGAGCATTGATGTAGTGACCCTTGCACACTTCTCTTTGTATTTAGGTCATACAACGCGTCGCATCTAGGGAACGCCCTAGCATTTATACAATATATTAAAGGAATCATGTCATGCTGGCTGTGAACTATCTGACGCAACCCTTCACTTTTCTCATTCGAGACTTGGGACTTGACAATGACAGTGTGCAACGATAGTATGCATATATATATATATATATTTGCCAACCAATTCATACACACAACATTTCATAAAGATCATTCAATTTTATTTTTGAGCATCTTGATGTGTGTATGATCCATTTTCATTTCTTGGAACATTAAATACATACACCTTTCATTTTAAATAAGCTAATAAACTATACTTTAATGTGAAGAATATTTCATTATATATAACTTATGTGCATGTTTGATTTATCAAATTTATGCTCAATTGTTCAAATAAATTTATTTTTTGAAATAAAATTGAGTATCTTATCTAACAGATGATCGACCACGTAATAAAATTTCTCATTATGGTCTCTTGAATCCTCTTTCATTTTTAAACAATCTAAAAATATATTTTTTGCATTAAATCATATTATTAACTTCCTGCTCAAGATAATATTTTTACCTTAAAATTACTTCTCGTACAAGCCTTGAGGTATACTAACTTGACTTTAACCTTGATTTACGGAAGAATACACAAAGTTCTACTTTTCTTACGTAAGACCCTAGTTTCTCCTTCCTTTTCATCCCATTAATCCCTTCCTCGTCTTGGCGCTGCCCTTACGTGAGCCCTCTATTTCCACTAATTGTAACTGATAGAATGAGGGTGATGGGAAGTTCTACCCTCCATTCCTACATCAACCGATGCATACATGTTTTGGTGGAATTGGATTCGGTGCTACAGTGCAATAATAGAATGAATAGTGAAATTAATAAAATAAATAATCAAATTAAATAATATGAAAATTAATTTAATTAATTATCAGAATGATCCTTATCAAATATAAAATTTAATAAAAATACGTGTCATTTTTTAGGGGTGCAAAGAATAAGGTGTAAAATTTGGGATTTTTTAACATTACCTTCTAAAAAAAATTTGAATAATACTTTCAAAGTCATTCAAAAGAAGCCTATTCAATATATCATGAGATTCGGCTCGTTTAGGTTTGCCAGTTGATTTAGGATGAAAGCCAACCTCCCAAATCAACATCTGCTTAAACTAGCATTACTTTGGGAAATTAAGTCCTGCATGTCCCCCATAGTAGCATGTTAATGTAACCCCCCAACTCCAAAATGGCACATAAAAATGTCCACTTACTGATCTCATGTCTTGACATGTAATATTCTAGCCATCCTCTCCACGCTCTCTGATTCTTGGCAAACCTGTTAGGCATGGGCGGTGCATTTATTAAGGATGTCTTAGGAGGCCTATAGGAGGGAGAGGGAGTGATTGCATTAAAGAGCTGCTTTTAAACATTCCTCCTGAGGGATTCGACTTTAATAGGCTATCAGCAGTTTTTTTTTCTACATCTCCTTTTCTTAGTTCTTTTGCTTTGATCACCAACCCTTTTTTTCTCTAATAACTATTATTTTAACCAAATAATTAGCACACATCTTCTCTCTCTCTCTCTCTCTCTCTCTCTCTCTCTCTCTCTCTCTCTCATATCTTCCCCACATTCCATGCACAAGGCCCTCTCCCATTAATACAAATAAGTTTTGCTTGATGAATCCCATTTTCCATTATCCTTCTCTCCCCTGAATCGTGCAAGGGGGGTGACTCGTGCTCGAGTGTATGATATTCACTCATTAACAATGTGTGAGATTGCGTGCTACTCTAATTTTCTTAGACTATATAGTTCTTTGACCCGTAGAACTATTAAATTTGAGAGGTTAATTGGTGGAATGAATAAATGGATTGACCAATGCCCCTTCTATACAAAAGGTTATTATAAAACCAAGTTTATTATTACAAAACAATCTATGTTTTCATCGAAAGACATGCCCAATAAAGGTTTGATTGAGCTATCTTATGCAAAAGTTTGTAATAAAGCTAGGTTTATTATTACAATCCATCCTATGTTTTCATTGAAGCATATGCCCAATAAGGGTTTGATCAATGAACCTATTGCATTAGCTGAACATCGCCAACCTGGGTGAGATGTAGCATGTAAAATTATGTTTTGGATTTATTTCAAATATTTCATTAAGATAGATTTTTTTTCTTTATTTCAATTTTAATCAGTATTAAATATTCTTTCGGATAATATTTAGTTTGAATTTGAATTATTTTGGATTTGAATAGAATTAGTTTTGAATTCAAGTTAATTTGATCATTCTTGTTCTACAAACCATATTCTGTAAATATGATATGGCTTGTATTGGATGAATTAAAAATTAAGTCTTATTTCTTTTTCAACCTCCCTCCTACGGTCCAAGAAAAATAGTATCAAAGCATTCCTCCCATTCAACTACTTTCCATAGCATAAACTGACTTATGATTTTGTTTGACATTGCCTCAATCCCATGATCATCTTCTGCCATATGTCCTATTTCCTCATCCATCAATTGCTACAGCCACCTCACCCTGTGCTTGTTTAACGGGCAGCATCTTCACATCACTTTGAGCACTAGTTCCCAACGTGTTTTATCGCTTTAGCAAGCTCACAGTTGGGCTGCTACTGGTTCTCGGTTTGGTCTTGGCTGTCCGATTTTTTGATGTGAGCTGCTGTGCTCTAGCTCATTAATTGAAATTAATTAGATTCATTCCCCCACCTGCTCCCCTTCGGTTCTCTATCCCTGGTTCCTTCCTATGGCTGGTTCTTCCCCCCTTCGGCTGCCTGTTCTAGTTCCTTGGGGTGCCCGTTCCTGTCCCAATTTGGCTACCTGTTTCGGTTCCCTTTGGTGCTTGTTCCTGTCCCCCTTGTGGCTGCCTGTTCCAGTTCCCTATGGTGCCCGTTGCTTCCCCCCTTGGCTGCCTATTACGGCTCCATGTGGTGCCCGTTCCTTTCCCCCTTGGCTGCCTGTTCTGTTCCCTGGGCTCCCTGTGTGGCCAATGGCTGCTGCTCTTGGACAGCCCGTTGGCCTTTTATTTCCCCTGTTTTGATTGATTTATTTGGGGGTATTTTGGGTTGTTTGGCTGCCTCATTTCTCATATATATATGTGATGTTTTGTAAGCATAAAAAGAGTATTATGGATATTTTGTAAGAAACCTGAGGGTTTTCTTTGATAGCTTTCGAGCTATGTATCCCTTTCTCCTTCTTCTAGGATAGCTTGCGAGCTATGCCTCTTCTTCGTCTCGTGCTTCTTACCTCTTTCTTCTCTCCGCAAGTGACCACCTAATTTGTATCTTTTTTCTCAAGCGATTTAAAAGCAAGTTTATGACTTTTATTTCAAAAGTTTGTAAGTGTCATGTTATGTTTTTAAATTTAAGTATGTTTGTGTCTTAATTTCTGTATTTTCTTATTTTTCTAGGAAGTCTTTTAGTATGCTTGCAAAATTAGGGTCTTCCTAATTTTTGCTTGCATCAGAATATCACTTGGTTTTCTCTAACCACTAGTCAATATGCCAATTAGGTCCCTTGAAATCTACGTGGCTTCGATATCCATGCTAATCTTGCTGGGCTTTTCTATGAAACAAATTGTTATCCTTAGCAACATCCCATCTTCTTGGGTTAGCTTCATCAACATTAACAAATTTAGGAGGCACAAATAAGTATATTAGATCAATAAAGTGATGAGGTTTAGAGGTTCATGTTAGTATACTATGACAGGTAATAACATTAATAAATGGATGATTTGAATATTTTGAGCTATCTGTTTCATATCAGGCTTCTGCATATAATGTATTATTTGTTGTACAATTATCTTATGTGGAATTGATCCAATTTAGCGCTAATTTATCCCCTTAATGAAAAGTAATCAAATATGGCTCTAACTTGTCACCTTAATGAAAAGGGTAGCCTTTACATGTTTTGTGTTAAAGTTCCATTTGATTTTCCTTTTTTTTTCGTAAACGTGAAGAATTATTTGCGCGTTCCAGTTGTTGTACAACATCTGAATTTCTTCAACTACTTGATGTCTTAGAAGTAGAAACAGCAAATAAAAGAGAAGAACAGCGTAGGAACACAAAGATAGGGCTGATTTTCTTATTTATCCTTAAATAATAAACCAAAAGTACAATTGATTTACTATTCTAGAGGTAGATTAGCTCTACCACAAACCCTAGACGCCGCTAGGAACTCATAACAAACACTAGGAAAAAAAACTCAGTAATCTCCTCCCTAATCATAGACAAACTCCCCCTTAAATTGCCCTAAAACACCATAACACAATTAGTATCTTCCTAATTAGCATAATCATAATTTAGTAAACCTTTCTAAATAAATAGAATCTTCCTAATCAACATAAACATAATTTAGGAAACCTTCCTAAATAATTAAACATGATTAAGGAAACATTCCTAAACAATTAAGCATGATTTAGGAAACCTTCCTAAACAATTAAACATATTTTAAGAAACCTTCCTGAACAATTAAATACTTCATAAATTGCATTAACACAATTAGGAAACTTTCCGAAATAAATCCCCCCTTGATTAGGATGCTTCTTAAATAATTTCTTTTAATTAGGAATTTAGGATCTTTCTTAAACAACTCCCTCTAAATTATGAACCTTCCTAAAAAACTCCCTCTTCTTGACTGTTACCTCCCCACCACCCCAAGGTTATCACTATTCTGTTATAAATACACTTTCTAAGAAACAAGTGATGTGGCAAATGAAATGAGAACTTAAGCTCTTATATGATTCCCTTGTGCAGGAATCTTTTGGAGCCATACGCACTGTGAGGTCTTTTGCTCAGGAAGAATATGAAATTTCACGCTATTCAGCTAAAGTAGATGAGACTTTGAACCTTGGGCTCAAACAAGCCGTGAGTTGTGTGTGCTTGATATTTCATTCTTACACTTGTAGATGAGATATATAGATTTTGAACTTTAAATGAATTTATTTCAGAAAGTTGTTGGTCTTTTTGCTGGCGGAATGAATGCAGCATCTACGTTGTCTGTGGCCATTGTAGTTTTGTATGGAGCCAACCTCACAATAAAGGGATCCATGACAACTGGAGACCTAACTTCTTTCATCCTTTACAGCCTTACAGGTATTTTTATGAAGCAATATGAAAATCTGCTATGATATAAAATAGAGAAAAAAATTGATCTGCACTTTGTGGAACTTCATATGCTGAAGTTCATAGATGCTTGTTGTTTACATATTATAACCTTTTGGATGACTTCTTATATCCGTTATTTGTCCACTTGCAGTTGGTTCATCAGTCTCTGCCCTGTCAGGGTTGTATACAACAGCAATGAAAGCTGCAGGTGCAAGCAGAAGAGTTTTTCAGCTTCTTGATCGCGTGTCCTCTATGCCAAAATCTGGTGATAAATGTCCTAATAGGTTAATCAAAATACTGAAAACTTTATTACTGAATATAAGTCCTGTCTGATCCATATTTATTTCTACAGCCTCATTATTACATATTTTGTTTTGTTACAGTGAAAAAGATTGTGACGTGGAACTTAATGATGTCTGGTTTGCATATCCTTCTCGTCCTAGTCATATGGTATTGAAGGTGAGCATTCAATGCTAGTAGCTTAAGATTTATTTACCTTGATTGCATATTTATCTTGTCAAGGCTGCAAAATCAAGATGCCAAGCTCTAGGGTAAGTCTCCCTGTACTATCCGCAATATTTGCCAACTTCAAAGGTAGTTGGGAAGAAATATTTTAATTCCTAGCTATTATTAATTTTGACTTCATTCTAGCCATGGTTCATACTTTAAAACTAAAGAGGGAGTTGTATATGATTGACTTTAGTGACCATATCACCCTAAATGAAAATAAAGATTTTTGCCAAAATTAGAGAGGTTTTGAAGAAAATGAAGTGTGGAAAAGCTGTTGAACCTGATGATATTCCAATAGAGATGTGCAAATGCTTAGGAGATGAAGGAATTTCTTGGCTTACTAAACTTTTTAATACTATTTTGAAGACTAAAAAGATGTCAGATCAGTGGAGAATGAGTGTGTTAATTCCTATTTTTAAGAATAAAGGTGATGCACAGGAGTGCGAATTATAGAGGAATTAAGTGAATGTGTCATACTTTAAAGCTATAGGAGCGAGTTATGGAGCATAGGTTGAGGCGTGATACTGATGTATCTCAAAATCAATTTGGATTCATGCCGGGTAGGTCTACTATGGAAGCCATACATTTATTGAGAGGTTTGATGGAGAAATATAGAGAGAATAAGGAGGATCTACGTATGATAAAATCCAAATACTAAAAAACACAAAAAGTGAGTTGTGTTAGGGCTTCTCCACCTTGTTATGGGGGCAAAAGAAGACACATTATAGTGATAGTGCAATACTCGGAGTGGATGACACTGGGGAGTGGACGTAGGTCATTGTTTGACCGAACCACTATAAATCTCTGGTGTGTTTATTCTAATTTTTTATTTTTGCATTATTATTTTTTTTTTGCATTTTAATTTTGTATTAACTGCTTGGTGAAAAATCGTGATTAATGCTTTGTTCTACTGATTAGAATATCATCTTTGTTTTGATGATTTGGTAAATTCGTTCGCTTCTGCATGTAGTAATAATTGTTATTTGTTTCCAAATACTGAAAAACACGAAAAAAATATCATCTTTGTTTTTTGAAGTTACCAATTAGTTTTTAAATTCACCAATTCACACCCCTCTTGGTATGCCTAGGGATAAGTTCACTTAGGCTTAACATCCTTATCGAACTTTCAATTGATATAAGAGCGGTACTCAAAATAGTATTTTAGAAAACCTAGAGGAAAACAAACAATGGCACACTTCAGAAATAGGAATATCGTAGAAGGTTATTCTATTACGCGTCCACTATTGTTTGAAAATATTCTCTTTGATTTTTTGAAAATTCGCATGTATACATTTTAACAATTCATTGATTTCAGGATGTGACATATGATTCAATCTGGATATTATGTACCATCACGTGCAGTTAATGGTGTGAAAACTGATATTTCTTATATTGAATGGAGTCAAGAAGATAGATGCTAAATGTCTTAATTGTTTTTTCTGTGCTTCGCAACTATCTATGTTGCATTTTTTATCTTTTGATTTGGTATTTTGTGATTTTTAATTATTCCTTGTTATGAGCCATCTTTGGATTTGGTATTCGGTGCTTTTTATTTGTTCCTTATTATGAAAGCTGAGTGCGGCATGGAATAACGGTAATATTGCTTCTATTGTGGCGTGAAGACAGATTTTTAAGTGAGGAGCCTCGAGCAATGATCATTAAAAAAAGGTTGGCTTTTAATAAATACTAGGACAGCATAGAGGGTAATTAAGTTGTCTGAATATCACAATTCGAATCATGAAAACAGATTCTTTACAATGTAAGGATAAAATTAAGCATATCTACTGTTTTTACGAGTATTTGTTTATGTAATGAAATTTCTTCATCTACGACGTTCTAACTTATAGGGATTAAACTGTAGTATCTATGTCTCTTGAAAACTTATTTGATGCGTAACATGAGCGTACTCTTTATTTAATGAATTCTAGCTTTTGTTTTTGATAGAGTGCTTGAATAAAGATGAGATTGTCACCTTATTGTCATAAAACATTTTAAAATGATTTCAGCATATTAGTGTTGAGTTTGCAAGGTTGTTAAACTAATTAAGAATAATTGACTGAGATGATTTCTTGAATTGCAGGGCATTACTTTAAGGTTGATGTCTGGTTCGAAGATCGCACTTGTTGGACCAAGTGGTGGTGGAAAAGTGATTTTTTTTTTTTCTTTCAATTTTGTACACAAATCATCGTCAGCTTTTTTTTTTCTCCATCTGATATAGTTATCCTGCCTATGTGTATATAGCTTTTCTACTTTCTGAAACCAAATGCAAGTATTCATGTTCTTATATTGACATGTTTATTGCAGACTACTATAGCAAACTTAATTGAGCGTTTTTATGACCCAATTAAGGGTAAAATCCTATTGAATGGAGTCCCTCTGGAGGAAATATCGCATCAGTATCTTCACCGACAGGTATTTTCTTAACTATTCTCATATAATTTATAGTGCTTCCAGGCAACACTAACCCTTGAAATTCTTCATTAGTAGGATGAGAATCAATTGGTTGTTTTCATTATGAAAATGCAAGATCCTGTTTGGGATATGTTTTTGGTCCTTTTAAGTTAATTTAGTGATTTTTTAAAAGATAAGTGGCTAAGATTGGATATTGGTTGGGCAGGTATGTTTCTATAAGTCTGAAATCATCTCTTAGCACATCCAAACTATATGGCTGTGCTTGAATGCTAGGAATTTGAGTGAAAGAAAATGAAATATGAGGTTGAAAAGCCTAAATCAATGTTTGTCTATAAAGTATAATCAACTTATAAATTGTTTAAATTTCATTTCATTTCCTTCATTTGCTTCAATACGAACAGAGTCTATCAGTCTAGTAAGGCTTAATACTGACTCAGATGTGCACTGGTGATAAAATTTATAAACATGATTCAGCTGTCAAGAATGACTAAAAGTTTGACTCAAACTCTTCCGGTTGAAAGAGCCCAGAGCTGGTAATTATATTTGAAAATCTGAGGAGTTAAGATTGCATAAGTTTTGATAAACTTTGAAATTGAAATCTATATGCTCCAACTCAATGATGGCCAGCTCAAAATAAAGTTTGATTCAATTCAAATTCTTATATTGTGTAACATATAAAGTAGTATATGCATATGCATACTTATATTTACAGAAAATGACCAAAATGATTTAGTCTCTTTATGAAGGATTAAAATAGTCTTCAACTATTTAAAAGTCTTAATTTAATTCTTTGACTCTTTAAATAAAGACTCAAATAGTCTGCACTTCAAAATTAACGAAGTGTTGACCTAAAACCTCCAACCGGACTCAACCATTGACCCACTACCCACGATCGAGCCCCACGACTCAACCACTCCGACGATCCCACTCTTCTCAACATATCTCCCTCACAAGCATAGAAGAAAAAAAATACCTCATTTTGGTTCATTCGAAGGCACGGACAAAAGCCGCAAACTCCCACTCCCTATTTTCTGCTCTAACGACTTCAAACTCACGGACGAAGGAACGGAGGCACAGATAATTTCCTCTTTTGATGCCAACCACACGTCGGACTCCAGCCGCTCGATCCGACTTCAACTTCGTCCTGTTCCCGCCGATACCGACCTCCTGCCTACAAACTTGACCGAGCCACCTCCCCCTTCGACACATCTAGACCTCCCGCCTACACTCACCGCTGACCAAACTCCTGCTTCTAAACTGAACCTAACCTTCCATCGGTTGCCTCTTCGCCAATGCCTACACCCAACGTCGACCCGCAGCCAACTCCTGTGCGGTTTTTGCCTCCGATCAATGCCCGATCAGGCTCCCTCTTCCTATCTGTTATATGTGTATTATAATATATATATATATATATATATAATAAAATTAAATAATAAAAAAGGAGAGAGAGAGTGAGAGAGAGAAATGAGAGGATTTTCAAATAAGCACTGCAACAAGGGAAGACTGAAGGAATTTTCGGAGTTGATTCGGTTCCCCGAAGCCCTCAACTGACGATCTGATCCGGCCGAGTGGATTGAAGACTAATTTCGGGACCAATCAACGTCCCGAAGCCCTCGGCCGTTGACTATATTCCGACTGGTCGGACTTGAAAGGGAAAGTCCCTCCCGAAGCTCCCCTCATGGGGAGGGGGTATCAGAAGGCTGCCGAATTTTCAAGAGGAATAAAAACATTTTTAAAATAAAATCAAGTCACTTAATCAACAGGCCACACGCAACAAGGATCATCAAAACCAATTCCGAGACCCGAGAATGTCCCGAAGCCCTCACATAATTAAATTCAAATAATTATTGTGGCATTTCTAGCAAATTAAATATATATAAAAATGAACAAATAAAAAAGGGATGATGAGGCATATCCTAGATGATAAAATCCAAAATTGCATGATAAAATGGATGTTTCAAAATTACCACTCACTTATGGAAGAATTGAAATTTAGTCCTATAGATATGAGTTATATGGGTAATCTGAAATCACTGGATGCATTGTTGAATCCAATACTAATCAGTATAGAAACTAATTTATTCTGTAAAAACTTGAAAGCTGTAGTGTTAAGGAGAAGGAATAAATGTGCAAGTTAGTTTGAAGGGTGTGTCTTGCCCCTGAATCTTCAAATGTATGGTTGTGGAGTGATTCAAAAGGCACTTGAAGTGGTTGAATTTAATCAGAAAATAACATTACATCAATCTAGATGTGACAATGTAGGTTGTTTCAATGGCAAAATGGCCCAACCTGTTTCTAAAATTGACAGAAAATTAGTCATTTGCTTTGACCTCAATATTAGTACTTATGTGTTGAAATATACAATGTTGTGATAATATAAGACTAAAAGCATATGCATCCTTTAGCCAAATTAGAATTTTTCCTCTAGTCTTTGTTTTAAAACATCCATCATTCATTTCCCTTTGTCTTAGCAATGTATGATTAGAGTTCAGTTCTTTAAGAAATTTGAGAAACTCTATTCAAATTAAGAATCTTAGAAGCATCTTTAGACTCTTTCTATTGGATAAATCTCTTCTTACAGGCAAACAATAGTTTTGGGAAGATCTATTCAAAGAGTTATGTCAATGCCAGGAGATGTCTCCTTTGACCTATGTTGCACCGATACACCAATTTATGAAGGCGTGCTGTATCCGATACACCGATACACGGATACGCCAAAGACGCATCCAATTAAAAAATACTATTTAATTTCAAAAGGACACGCGTATCCGATACACGTGTCCATTGAAAAACAAAAAGAAATCCGAAAAAAAAAAAAGATGCGTCGTATTTACTTCTGCGGCTGCGAGCAAAGTTCTCTCATTTTTTAGATGGATTTGAGTCTCTTGATGATATGAGAATATTATAAATTACTAATCTTTCTCTTGATGAGCTTGAATTAAAAGCTATGATATTTATTGAAGATGATATAGAAGTTCAAAGACAAACCACTGAAGAAGCTAATCATATCATTCCTTCTATTGAATAGTTGAAACTTTATGTGCTAGAAAATTTATGTTTATGCTTTTGTTGTTGTACTAGACATTTAATGCTTATATTTTGATATTATAAGCTACAAGGCTACAAATGATGTTGTTGCCATTTTTTTTTGTAATTTAAAATATTATGCTTTGATTGCTTTCTTAATTTTTATGTATGATTTATACATTATGATGTCGTGTTCGCGCCGCACCCGTATCCTGTATTTTTAAAAATTGACGTGTCCCGTATACGTATCGTGTCGTATCCGTATCGGTGCAACATAGCCTTTGACTCAAATACATTAGACCATTCTTATGCTATTAGCATCTTGATAGGAGCTTCACTTGGCTTCTTTCCAGTGCTCTTTAATGATAATTATCCTTCATTTTGTTAAAAGAAGGCATATCACCAATATATAAGGAAAAGAAGCAATGAATTTGTAGTGTACATAACTGACCTATAGGAGATAACAGAAGACTTGTACCAATCAATGCAGTTCACTTACAAGCAAGAACACGAACTTCTAATATTTATTGAATAAACATTCCTTACATGCTATATTAAATGATATGACAAGCTTGAATAAATTAAACAGCACATCTTTTACGTATTATAACTCAAACCTAATTTAGAGGGATTTTTTTTAATGCCATTGGATCTGTAACATTTGTACGAGCAAACAGAAGGTGATACTCCTGTAATAACTCCAAACTATATAATTAAAAAAACACCCATGCATGTGCTCCGACAAATGTGTTAAAGCTACAAACACAAATATATGAGAATGCTACGTATGGTCAAATGCTCACTAATATAACATTCTATTTTCAAACTAAACAAAACTCGCATATGCTCTGTCAGATGCGATAAATTTACAAACACCTATGTCTGAGAATGTTGCACGCATCAAATACTCAAGTCTCCTTCTCGAAAGGACTAGAGTCGACATGACTTGAATTATAAAATTCCTCCCAAATTCCTTCGAAAATACAATTGACTTTAATGTCACCTCGATGATATTCCTGTTGCTATGATGCACCGACACTCCGCTTAAAGAGGGTAAGCAGTGTCGGACACGTGTTGGACACAGACACGCGTCCGACACTGCATGGACACGTGTCCGACACGGCATTGGGTGTCGCAATTTAAAAAATTAAAATTAAAACCGGGCACATGTCCGCTTTACAAATAAGAAAATTGTCTGATTCGTTCTATTTAGCCTTTTCCGCGAACGAGAAGCCCTATTTTTCTGATCCACGAAAGAAAACTTCTAGGGCGGATCGGTCAAGCTCATAACCGACGCCAAACAGAGCCCACTGCCTTCGCCTCCCATTCCTCCATCATTTCTGCTCGAGCCGAGGCCAAGCCGAGCTCGTCTTTCCCATTCCTTCGTTCCTGTGTGATTTTCGCGGTCAGCCGAGGCAAAGTTCGCAATCAACGCCAAACATAGCACCTTCTGCGCGCAAGAGAGCCAAGACTTGTAAGTGAATTTCGCCATTTCTTTTCTTCATTGTTGAAAAAGCTAATGTACATGCTCGGTACCGCTAGGTATCGCTAGGTATATGCTCGGTACCATTCAGTACATACTCGGTACTGTTCTGTATATGCTTGGTACCGCTCGATATGTTTCCATAAAAATAACTTACGAACTTTAAAAACAAGCTGAACTTCAAAATTACTCTTACCATAAAAATTTGTTCTGGGGGCGCTACCTCCGGAAACCCCCACAGAGGTCGAACTTCGCCATGGGTAGCGACCCCTTGGACCCCCGGCAGACCAGTATATTGTTGTATTCATGTTGTCTTATTATTGGGTTATTTTGACTTCACTTCATATAAATTTAACTTGATGTATTGTTATGTATAATTGGTTTATTACACCAGTGTATTTTAAATCAAAATTAGCTCTGCTGCTGGCGGGAGTGGATTAGGTGAAGGTTCAAAAGAGCCATATGTAGAAGCTGATAAGCCGTTATGGAT